AGGAATCTCCAACCCTTGTGCTGATCCGAGTAGCCGACGAACAATAGCTTCTTTGCTTTGGGATCAAATTTCTTACGCTTGCATTCCGGGACATGGACATAAGCGGAGCACCCGAAAACACGAAGACGGGTCAGGTCCGGCTTCGTCCCAGTCCACATCTCGTACGGAGTACGATCTACAGCACGAGTAGGCAGCCGGTTCTGAATATAAGCTGCTGTTAATACTGCCTCTCCCCAGTAACATTTTGGCAGGCCTGCATCGAGCAACATGAAGTTAGCCATTTCTTGAAGCGCTCGGTTCTTGCGTTCCGCTACCCCATTTTGTTGTGGGGAGTAGGGAACCGTGAACTGCGCGTCGATACCTTCAGCCTTATAAAACTCCTGCAAATTGTTACTAGTATACTCACCTCCGCCATCGGATCTAATGATGCGGGGCTTCCGTCCGAATCCATTCTCCGTCCAGCGCACGTACTCCTTTATCTTCCCTGCTGCCTCGTCCTTGGACTTCAGGAGAAAGACCACACAGAATCGACTGAAATCATCGATCATGGTCATCAGGTACTTGTTACCACTAGGCGTTTGATTATCCATGGGGCCACAAAGGTCCGTGTGGATCAGATCCAAAGGCTGCTTAGACTTGCGTTCAGTTACCGCTGGGAAAGGGAAACGAGTCAACTTCCCCTTCAGACAACATTCACAAACTATCTGCTCACCGCAACTCTTGACCTCCAGTCCACTTGCCAGATCTTTCGCCTTAATCGACTCTATGACATCCGCATCTCGATGACCAAACCTTCTATGCCAGGTGTGTTGGCACAACAAGGTATGGTTTCCACACACCGCACGCATACCCTGCTCGGCAGTTTTCAATTTGTACTGGTTGCCGACGGTTTCACCAACTGCCACTACAACGCCATCCGCAGATTTTACTTCGCAACGATCTACGCCGAACACCACTGAAAATCCTTTGAGTGCCAGCTTCCGGACCGAGATCAGTCCACCTTCTAGAGAAGGGACGTACAGAACGTTCTCCAACGTGATGGCAATTCGGTTTCCATCTCCGTTTACACCGAACAACACTCCACTACCGCATCCAGCAGACATCGTTTTGGTTCCATCCGCCAGGGTCACATCGACAACGACACCTCTTTTCATTTCGTTGAAGAAAGTACGGTCGTTGGTCATATGACACGTACAACCGCTATCCACAGTCCATGCTCCGGGAATAACTCCTCCTGCGACGAAGCACACAGCTCCAAAAACAGCGCTGGGTTTCTCACTAGGTTTCTCAGCATCCCGCTGCTCCGGCGCCGGTTGTGTTTGCACCTGCTTCGCTTGCTGGTCTGGACTATCCTTCTGACTGGACTGGCTTAGGCCTTGTTCCTTTTTCGCTGCTAGAAACTTCCTGCAATTCTTCTTCAGATGACCCGGCATATTGCAGAAAAAACACTTCCGAGTTTCACTTTTTGGCTTCGCTACCATCTTCATGGCCTTCTCCATCTTGACACCGTTTCCCTGCTGACATTCTCGCTTTTGGCACTCATCCCGAAGTCTCGCCAGCACTAAATCGATCGTCAAATCTTCCTGAGGCCGGTTCTCCAATGAAGTAACAAAGCTGTGATACGACGATGGCAAGCTCCGAAGCATCATAATGATTCTCAGCAGCTCACTAAGCTCCACACCAGCATTTTCCAGACGTTCGTAAAGATTCTCCATCTCCTCGATGTGTTTCTCGACGTTTCCACCTTCACTCAGATTCAACGAGCAAAGCTGCTGCAACAACAGGGCCTGGTTTCCAATAGTCGCTTTTTCGTGGTACGATTTGAGGTTAAACCACATCTCGCGAGCAGTCGCCGCCTTTTTGATGAAACGCAACTGACTATCCTCCACGAAGAGCGCAATTGTCGTACGAGCCTTCCGATCATCCTTGATCCACTGCTGGAGCTTGGCATCAACCTCCTCTGGCTTGGGTTTCTCAATCACGTCCCAAACTTCCTCGCGCTCAAGCATCGTCATCATCCTGTACTTCCAGGAAACGTAGTTGTTGCCATTCAACTTGGCGAACATGACCTTCATGCTTTCGGCCATCTTTTTCCACTGCACGTGTTACACAAAAGGTTCTCGAAAGAAAAAACGCGATTCTTCCGGCACACCCGTTTTCCACGAAAAAAAATGAAACTGTCCACTTTTCACTACTGGGCTCATAACCTGAAGGAGCAGAGCACTACCGGAAACCTCGGAAAAGGAACGAATTTCGGAAAAACGATGAAACACACGTAAACTACGGGAAAAGAAAAAAAGCTACTATTTTATTTGCGTCTTTTACTACAGAACTAGAACGCTAACTGAACAAAAAAAAAAACTTCCAACTGTCAACCAAAAGCAAATTTCAAGGTGTACCAATATAGGTTGTCTCTGTTGTCTGCATGTAGGGGTAGGACGCTAGTGGTCATTCTACTCCCACAGTAGAACCTTCCTTCGACTTCCTTCAAAAGCACAACATCGACGTGGGGCTTCTAACCGAGACCCATCTAAAGTCCGGTGACAGCTTCTGGTTGCTTGACCACAACATTATCCGGCTTGATCGCACCAGCTCCAGGGGAGTGATGTAGCGGTTATCGTCAGGAAGGGAATCAAGTTCTGCACTCTACCCCACATCCGCACTTCTATCATCGAGGCCGTTAGTGTGGAGGTGGAATCACCAACTGGAAACGTCCAGTTTATCGCTGTTTACTGGTCACGCCAGTGTACTGCAAGCAACGGACTAGGAATCAAATTCAAGAACGATCTGACCGCCATCACTCGTACTAGCTCTCCCTGAATGCCATGAAGCTTGGTGAAATTACCAGCGGAACCGGAACTGATGTCTTTTGTTCGACCACGCATAATATGGACTGTACACTTTGCAGTTTCCGGACGAACCAACATTCATCTCTCCGGATGGAAATCTATCCACCCTGTTGAACATCGGACTGCACAAAGATCTCAGTTCCGACCACCAATCGGTGGTGGCTGAAGTCGGCATCAACGTAGCTTCTGCTCCAAGTCTGCGCAAAGACTACCACCACGTCAACTAGGTGCAGTTTAGACGTGTGGTTGACAGAAACATCGGAGAAAATCCACCGCTCGACATCGTAGATGACATCGACTGGGCGTTGGAAGGACTCCAACAGGCCATATCCGACGAGGCATGTGTTCGACAAGTTCCTGTGAGGGGTTAGTTTGTTGCTATTGATTCCCATACTCAATTACTGATTCGCTTGAGAAATGTTCGTAGACGCCAGTTTCAGAGGACTGGAGATCAGGACAAAAAACGTGAAATGGCCGATCTGAACAGGTAGATTGCATCCAGAATGGACTCACTCCGAAAAGGAAGATTCGGCGTGTTGTCCAAAATCTGGACGACCGCTCCAGACCATTCTGGAAGGTAGCCAAGGTCTTGCAAACTCATCCAAAACCCGTTCCACCTCTTAGAGTCGAAAATGATGAAGATTGGCTTTTAATCACCCCACAGGAGAAAGCAAATGCGATCGGCAAGCATGTCGCTTCATCGTATTTGCTTGGCTCGACTATCCAAAGTCCACTCGATGATCAGGTTGCGCAATGCGTTCAAAACCTAGAAGCCTCCCCTTGTGTCGTGTCTCTGGCGGATATGATTACAGTACAACAGATTTGCTCAGCGCTGAAATGTACCAAGAACATGCAGGCTCCCAGGTTTGACGGCATATTCAACTTAATCTTAGCTATTATTTTGTTCCTATGAGTCTGTGCACATGATTCCCACACCGGAGCTGCGTAGAAGATCACAGGTGCTATTAGCCTATTCGGCGCGGCGTATGATGTGAGGTGACAGTATAATTGTCACCTCGGATGAGGTGAGTCTCCGAGCAAATCAAATGGAGTCACCTCATCCGAGGTGACAATTGTCACTTCACTAGTGACAGCTATTCACCTCACCTCACACGCCGCGCCGAATAGGCTTAATAGCACCTGCGATCCTCTACGCAGCTCCGGTGTGCGAATCATGTGCACCGACTCATAGGAACAAAATCCAGGTCGCTCAGAATAGAGTGCTGAGGATGGTCCTTTATCGTCCCTTCGAGACAATAATTTCCGATCTTCACCTAGTGGCGAACATTGCGAAATCAGATTTTAAAATTGATGACATAAAGACTGGGTTTGTGCAGAAATGCTATTTATCAGAACATGCTTTGGTAAGCAATTTCATAGTTGTGTAGGTTAGCTGTAGTTGTAAGTAGAAGTTATAAGCTGTTATAAGATGTTTTTTTTCTATTTCAAACAAACCATGGATGCTCTAAATAGGCCTAATAGGAACCTTAATAATAATTATAAAAAAATCAAATTAACTAAAGTGAAAAGACATCTATGTCACTTAAGAAATCAAATATGTAAACCACACAAATACAAGAAATAAACATCATTTAAAGTCTAAAAAAATGGGTTAGGTATGAATCCACTGAGCGAACCACCGGTAATATATGTTTGTTCACTGAGATCTCCGCAAAAATCTAATTTGTTAGCTGAGTCTCGGCAATTGTTTTACTGAATGTAAGCCAAATAAATTTCAGAACTACTCGGCTGTTGGAATCTCGATTCTCTCCAACAATAATTGTTGGAGATGACAACCCGAGACGCAACACGAGAAAAGGACCTATCATTGTTGATCGATTATCTTCATCGATTTTCTCTTTCGCGAATAACCCGATTGTAAATGAATTTACCATTCAGTGTGTTGTTTCAGGCGCAAGCTAACATCATCTTCTGTCGAACTGTGCTGCGAGCTTAGCGAGAAATTCGTTTATGTTGCCGTGGTAAACCAAAGAGAAGGTCGATGAAGAGAATCTATCAACGAGGAAAGGCCCTTTTCAAATGTTACGCGAAATAAGTTAAGTGCTAATTCTCATTGGTATCCTTTCTTTTCGTTCCAAGCAATAATATAATACAATGTATAGCTTATTCAGTAAGATTTGCAATTTAATAGGTACTCAGATTTCATTAAACATTTTAAACTTACGCCTTCGTCAAATTGTCAAAATCTTTCCACCATTGGGTGAATTCCTTCACTCGCTGTTGCGGGTTACGTTCTCGCCCTGGTTTTCGCCAATCCCGTGTTTCCAGTCCCAAAATGCCACCAATTGTTTCCTAAGAAAATAAGTACCCAAATATGATAACTTGCTGGAACTAGGTATGAAAATGAACTTACCGACGCGAACGTAACCGGGAAGCTTTCCTGATCCTCGATCACGTGCGCAAATCCACTTTCCAAATTGAAATTCACCCAAAAGTACGGTAACCCTTTCGGTACGGTACGGCGAATTTCCATTCCCTGGACGTTGTGTAGCTTTTTGTTCATGGCCCATTCCGTTTCCGATTCGAGGATTGCTTTCTTGAAGTAGAACGGTGCCATCTCGTAGTTGTCGGCCGGAATGCACTGGACGTAGGTATGCGGATTGCGGTTTATATAGCGAACTGTTTCGAAGAATATAACTTCCTGCTTGTGGGCGGCGAACATGCGTTTCAAAGCCTTGCACGTGTCTACCAAATCCTGATAGACGTCCTCATCCATGAGTGTCAAAGACGGGTAGTGAGAGACCGGCACTATCAAACAATGCTTGGGCTGGAGTGCCCTCCAGCTGGGTACGGCTAGGAAAACGTTTTCGCCCATTGAAATGATATTGTCCTGAAGGAACTGCGACGAGTTAATGCAACGTTCGCAATCGGCTTGAACGCGTGAAAGTTTGTTCATATCTCGAACGACCTTTTCTTCGTTTGATCGACCAGAGTCAGCCGCAGTGGCACTGCCGTGACCGAATATGTTGTCCAAATTGTTAGCCTCCCGATCAAGCTTAGAGGACACCTTGAAGAACTGAGCATCCATATTATCGTTTTCAAACCGCTCCGATCGGAACTTGTCCGCCAGATCACCCCCCGGTAGATTTTGCTGGTATCGGCGCTGTTTCTTGAGTTGCCCAGTGTTATCAGCTGAAGATTTGCTAACCGCAAAGCTCACATCCTCTTCCATTTCCGTTTCTTTACGTTTGCTGCTACCGGCCGTTTCTGATTTGGCAGAATTCTTAATCTCACTTCTATAGGCCTTCGCCTGTTCCAAACGTTCCTTCAGACTACTTGCCAGCTCGCTATTACCCATAATCTCAGCTTTGATGATTTTTGCTCCCAAATCGTTCAATTGCTGATCCGTTAAGAAAATACCATCTTCACTAGCAGTAATCGTCTCCTGCTTTCGTTCGTTACGATCTTCCCGAACTTCTTCCTTATGCCTGTCCGGTTTCCTCCAGCCACCACTGCGACCCGAATTCCTACCGGGTGGTTCCTTGCTCGTCAGCTTCCTTGAACGATAATCATCCTCATCATCTTCAACCGGTCGCCTAAAGCTGGGCAATCCACCGCCACCGTTCTTCCAGTGCGGATTTAATTCCCTTACACTTGTCTTCGGGTCGTACTGCTCTGCGGCAGGCTTTTTCTCTTCCCTTTTAGCTTCCTTACTGTAGGTAGGAATCAGCATGCAGTTCATCCAATCTTCCCGTTCCGCTTTCGGAGCTTCCAATTGTCCCGGCAGTACCTTCTCGACCCATTCATCTCTTCCATCGTCGAACGAGCGGTTGCTACCACTGCTGCTGGAACTGTTCCGGCGTTCGCGTTTCTTGTGCGATTTGTTCTTTTTCTTATGCTTCTTTTCCTTCTTGTGTTTCTTGGATTTCTTTTCCTTCTTTTTTTGCTTCTTGAGACGCTTCCGCTCGTCGGAATCGTTATCGGAATCACTGCTTGAACCCATTAGATGATGTTTAGGTAAACTTCCAGGAAAATGCAACACTCGTAGCGCAGTTTGTTTTGATGCGAACTTCGCACGTTGATGGGCGAACGCGAATGATTGGTCACAACACAAAGATGAGAATGACAGTCCACGTACCAGTGAAAAAGCTATGGAGGATTTGGGCAAGAGAAGCTAATAAAAATCTAGACAAACATTTCAAAAGGTCATATCTGACATTGAAGCTGATTGGAGAAAAGTTGATTTGAATTTTTGCAATATATTTTTAAATGCCATTTTTAATTACGATATAAAACGATAATCTTTTGTTTTCTCAAATGCATAGGAAACACATAGAATTCTACTGAAGTGTATGTTTTTTCGTTTTTTCATAATTTTCAGGTTTAATTCGTGGTTTTGTTTGGCTTGTTTGGCGTATTTGGCTTTTTTCAGTATCAGTTAGGACCTGTCAAATTGGTTTGATTGCAAAGATTAATATTACTTAGGACTTTGGTAAGAATACGGTTTAGAGGTCAGATAACTACAACTATAACATTATTTGTAATTGTTGATGGGCTTAAAACTTCTATTCTGCCAATTTATTAAGCAAACAGCGTTTATAATCAGAACATGCCCATTTTTTTCTGATGTATGCAGAAAAAATTTAAGTGTATGGAAAATTTGCATATTTTTTTAATATTCGGTATATTTTTATAAACAAACTGTTTTTTTTTTTCATTCTACATGATTCGTTTTACACGCAGAAAAAACTATCGTCGTAACAAAAAAATATGAGGTAAATTTAAACGTAAATTCATTTTGTTCTGGCCACAAACATAAATTAGGTTGATTTCAAACGTATTTCATGATTGAAGTCATGTGAAATAAATGTTTAAAATAAAAATAATGTTACGTTTATTTCAAAAATATTCGTGTTGAAAATAAACGTAAACATTTTTGTTTGGTTTGACAGCTATGCGAACAATAATAAATATGTTTATTTTAAACATACTTCTCATGTTTAAAATAAACATACATATTTTGGAATTATTATAGTAGTTGAGTGCAACGGTTTGCAAAGAAATGATAAAAAAAGAACTTGGGGCAGAGCATCTAAATTCCTGCTCTTTTTTCGGGTGCGATTAAAGGAGACCTGTGGGTATTGGGGTCCTGGTCCGGGATGCGAGGACCCGTCGGGGTGGGTGTCCGGGGGTTCCAGTTCAGTGGAACCGGTGCAAATTTGTGTTATTAGCGTCGTTTTGCCGTTTCTGCCTCGGTTTCTGCCACTGGTCCTCATACCGGTTTCTTCCCATGTTCGGTATCGGAGGAGGATCCGGAATGGATTCGGAATGGATGGCCATTTTCTGTTGAGGTTGAGCAAAGCTGGGGCAACTTTTTCCGAATGTAACAAGAAGGAAATAAAAAGGCATGACACGCTAAAAACCGTTTACCCAAATCCTATATTGTTGAAATAAACATGGTTTTGAATTTAATTCAAACATAAATATTTTAGTTTTAAACATGCTTTCAATTTACTTTTAATAATTCATATGTTTAGAGTATAAACATTTATATTTTTGTTTTAAATGAACAAAATTCGTATCCGTGTACATTTATTAGCTTTATTAGCTCAAGCTGTTCATCAATAATTTACATTCATTCATGTTATTCGATCAAATCTACATCGCTGTCCTCCAGTGGATCGAGATCCTGAGCGAGATCCACATCAAAGTGGTCTACAACGGTATTATTGTTCTTCTTCCTGTTTTTTTTTCTGGAACTAAGTATTTGAGCTCGTATTTGAGGAATGTTGCAAAATAATCTTTTGTTTTCAGTTTGCGCAAATCGTCCAATTTAGCACTTGGCAATTCAAGTGGTTGATCCGTAATTGGATCCAAATCCTCGTCCAAATAATCCACGCTTGTAATATCGCATGTCGAATTTGACAGAATTTTGAATAAGATTTTGCCTTTGTGTACTCCTGGCATCGCAATTAATTCGTCAACTTCATACCAGAACCAGAGCGATTGATTACAGGCATCGTAAATGAGCCTTTCTCATATCCCACTTCCCAGTTAGATGTTGGATCCATAGGACTTTCTAAAGCTTCATGTTGATATTAGCATAGCATTTCCAACTAACTATTATGAGTTTTAGTTTTTATATTCCACGTGAAACATGAGATGAAACAAAGGTCCTAATAGCATTTGTCATTTTTTTTGTTGAATTACAGATTGGACTGTAAACATGTTTAAGGTCCAATTAGAGAGCTGTGCGATATTATAAAAACTTTCAAATTGGACATTTTTTTCACATATTTTTTTTTTAATTTTCTGAATATTGATAATTCAAATTTCTAGAACAATACTTAGAGATGATGAGCTCTGCAGTACAGAGAAGCATTAAACTCGATTTGTTTACAAATGTCAGATAGGACTTTTTGAAATGTTTATCTAGAATTTATTGATTTTCATTGTTACAAAATGATACAAAGGACAGTAATGAATTAAAAATTGAACGTATTGTAGATATAAATAAAATAGAATGTATGGATTTGCGCAATAAAATATGTGGTAAATGGGAATATTAAACTAAAACAGTTGGGTAGTTATGTTGGTTGTAAACCATTGAACAATCTTGTTTTTCTCGAGCATTTTTTGACTTTATTGTTTTTTCTATTGTATGTGTTTTTCTCGAATTAATGTTTCATTGAAATCTTCCAAGGTTGCATAGACGGATGGCATACAAGATTGATAGACATCCTAGCGGTTATGATCATCCAAATTTTTAATGCACTGTTATTTGAGCTGTTAATCAGTTCAGATCTGTAAATAATCGAAACATAAAACTACTTCCTAAGGCCTGTTCATAAACTACATACACTGATAAAATTTCAAAGATTGTTTTTATTTGTTTATGTTATCAACAAATGATATTTATGTGTCGGACACATACTTAATATGTGTACACATAAAAGCCATGTGTAACCACACATACTATTCATTTGACTCATAAATTTCATGTGTGCTTCTGCGTGGATTCTGTTTATGTGTGGTCACATGAAAATCATGTGGAATTTCACATGGAAATTCGTCAATAAAAATGTGTGGAATTTTATTAGTGTAGACAGTTGGGGGGGAGGACTTCAATACCCCACCCTTATGCCGTCCGAGGATCTGCTGCTGACTGCATTCACCACCAATGCCTCTCGTCGCAAGTGCGAATGTTCCCGCTGAAATCGGAAAGTTCCTCCTCCAGATTGGTCGAGTTCTCGAGCGTAGCCCTGGTCGTGAACGCCATCATGAAGTGCAACCACAACCAATTTGTGATCGATCACAAATGCACAAAACTCCCGTTCATTATGAAGCTGTGCTTCTCCTCCTCCAAGAAGATGAACGGTGCGTGGAGCTACGAGAACACCGAAAACACGTTAGCTTCGAAAGAGCGGAAGCTTCGAAAGAGCGGAAGCTTCGAAAGAGCGGAAGCTTCTTTTTCTGAGAAAAGAAAGGATTTTCCTTTTCCTGTGTAGTTAATGTTATTATTCGTAAATATAATTTCTTATTGTGTTAGTTGGAAGTGCAAAAAGGCAGTAGAGTAAAAATAATTTGTTGAACTATTTGAGATTTTGCCAAGACGGTCCTCCAACATTATGTTGGACGATGGAATGGTTGGTGTAGCAGCCACCGCCATGGATGTATTGGAGCAGTTCGAATGGTCGGACGGTATAGTTTTTGTTTGGTTGTTGACATTCTGATTAAAACTCAAGCACCGCTTTTGTCATGACCGGCCCAAGATTTCCAGCGTCGGCCACGGCTACACGAATAAGCGATGCAGCTCCCACGGGTGCGGTTGCTTCCAATACTGCTGCTGCTGCTGTTCCTTCTGCTGGTTCGTATTCTCTCTCTAAAATTCGTAGAAAAAAAGACGGACCAGCAGCAGCATTAGAAGCAGCCGCATGTCACGTTGTGTCCCGGACAGAGAAAAAAAAAAAGTTTCAATGAAACTTCTTCTGGTGTTTACTTTTGAGCTCCTTTGTTCTAGTGCTTTCAGCTGCTTATATTTATATAACAAAATCCAGCTGGTTAATCCACTTCCATGTGTTTAGCTTTGACCCCTTTGCGAGGCCCTTTGTTCTCAAGCTTTCAGCTGATCATGTTGACATGTCAAAACCGAGATCAAAACCAGCTAGTTAAACCATAATTTGCACGCGAAAACATCAAGGAGAAGACAAAATGGTAAGAGTTTCTAAAGCCACTGAAAATTTTGGCATGCCAGCAGGTTCCACATTTTCTTTGAGAAGGTCTAAATATTCATGGAAAACACTATACACTCAGGTCTTTTTTTACACGGGGGATACAGTCCGTGTAAAAAAAAACCTTGTAAAAAAAAACCTACGAGATTTTGATTTTTCGCATGCTTAAATGTTTTTAAAAAATCGGATTTTGATGCCATTTGTAATTAAAGCATGATATGGTCCATATAGACATATTTTAAAAATTTCTGTATTTACATCAAAAATTGTGATTTTTTTTTTAAGTATGCCATTCGATTACAAATAGGAATCAAGTCGATAGGTTGTATCGTTGTCGAGAAATCGTTAAAAACGTACCGTGTAAATCGTGGAAAACCGTGTAAAAAAAAACCGTGTAAAAAAAAAACCGCGTAAAAAAAAACCGTGTAAAAAAAGACTTCAGTGTACAATCATTTGCTTGTGAGTAAATTCACTTAAATCACTTTTAAGTAAATACATTTTGATAAACACCTACATAAAAAATCCGACGATCAACAACAGAGGTATTTTCGAACGTTATAATTTATTTTCGAAGTGAAAATTCATCAAATGGAACACAGCCTATAGGCCCAAGCGTAATGACAGCGGAAGCGGAACGGCAGCAGCAGCGGAAAAGCCCGATCTGAGTAAGCCTACTGTCTTGTCGGATTGAAAACTAGTTAGAACCAAATCGACTTCGGTTAGGCATCTTGATGTCATTTGTTTCCGTTCCGCTTCGGTCCATATTGCGTTTGGGCCTTAAGTCCGTGCGATATTTATATCTAACACTTTAAGGTACTCACAATGAACGTGTGCTTGTTTAGCAATCTTATACTTTTTTTCACTGGGGTTGTTCGGGAAATGTCACCGAAATGCCGTTTGAGATTACGGTACCCACCACCAGTGGCGCTGGTTGGCATTCGCAGTGTTGCCGGAAAAAATATGATTCTAATATTTCGAAGAACTTGTAACATTCTAGATAACACTATTTTTTCCATAGTACTCATTGTTTGGATAAATCCTTAATAAACAAAAACAGCAAACGAACGATAGCCCAAATGGAAGAAATAATACACAAATGGTTTGGATGATACCTTAAATACGTCGTTAAGCACTTTTGTATGATTATTTTTTATTACGGAAGAACTTTTTTTCGAACTAGTAGACTATGTTCTAATATTTTTTCGAACAATCGGTTGTTATTTCAGAAAGTTAGCTCAGAATGTATTGAAAGACGTGAAGTGCTTCGGAGAAACCCTGATGTTATGGTTAATTTGCTTAACGACGTTTTCGGGGTATCATCCAAACAATTTGTGGAATAGTTCAATCATTTGGGTTATCGTTCGTTTTGGTATTTTTTTTATTAGGGAAGAGTTAAAATTTGAACATTATTAATTTGAACTTCTTAACATCAAATTAACCAAATTTCAAACCAAGCTGCTAGCCCTGCTCTAAACTTGGCGACGGGTGACACGAAGCCAAGAAGAAGATCGTCGCTACAGAAGAAAACTAAAAAAACTGCCACAGTCGCGATCGGTTGTGTCTCCTTGTTTTCGGTGCCCGTTTTCTCGCGTAAAATCGTTCTGATTTTAGCACGAAATGGAACGGAATATACTCCCATCGGTAGAACGGTGACCAGTGCAGTGAATAGCGTTCAAATTCGACGGAACAGGTCCTGATCCGTGGACCAAAATCGAGATTGCTTTTGCGCCTCCTCGGCTAGTGACCCAGCCTGTTGTGTGTGGTTGAAGATTTTCCTCCCTTTTTTTTTTTGCTGGATGGTGGTGTGTGGATGTTCCGAGTCGATCGCTGGTGCACGCGTGTGTGTACGGCTGGGCTGTTGACAAGAGTGGTGTTTGACAACTTCTTGCTTCTCCGCAGCTCGCTCCGCGGAGTCTCGCGTTCCGAATAATATCATGGGAAGTGCGATGTAGTGTAGTGGTAAAAGTTTCTGCGAGGGAACCCAACAAGCAAAAAATAGGTGAAAGAAGCAAAATAACAAAGAGTGTGTGGCTTCGAATTGTTGTCATCGTGCGTGGCTAATTCAGGGAGGTTTTTCACCTAGTTGGATCGAAGTGTTTCTAGTGGTGATTTAGCTCTAGAGAAAATTTAAAGCAATAACTTTAAGATCCTTCTAAGGAGGGCAATATTGTGCCCAAAATATCAGTATTCCATTATTCCAGTGAGAAGAATAGAGTATGCCTGCTTGTGATCCGGTTTAGTCAACCCAGTAGCTATTAAGTTAGTGCACGAATAACGGAGAAAAGGTGAACCGAAGAGTTGAAATAAGTCTGCGCTTGGATCAAGTTGCTGCTTTGTGCATGTTGTGAAAATGTTCTCCAAAAAGAAGAAAAAGCCACAAATTTCATTCCCGAGTAATTTCGAACACCGCGTTCACACGGGCTTCGATAAACGGGAGGGAAGATACGTTGGCCTTCCGCTACAGTGGGCATCTATCGTAGGAAACAACCAGATATTGAAATCCACCAATCGACCGCTGCCTCTGATCGATCCTTCAGAAATCACACCAACGGAAATCCTCGACCTGAAAACTATCGTTCGACCGCACAACACTTCCAGTGCAGCATCAACAACTGGTAGCGCAGGAGAACCGGGAAAGCTGGTCCTTCCGAAAACATCCAGTGTGGCTCGATCAAATTCCTTACGAAGTTCTAGTCCTCCAAGGGTTCGTCGAGGAGATTTGCGTGCGAATACCAATGTCCCTCCTTCAGTTCCGGAAGAACCCCTTCATCTCGGAGGTGGTCAATCCCCATTTCCGTCCGTAAATAATAACTTCCCCCCGGTACCAGCTAAACAGTCCTTCCCTGGCAACCCTATCCATCCCCATCAACAAACACAACCCGGTTCCACTTTCCCGGATAGTCAGTCCAACTTCAACCATCTGAATAACAACTTTGAACCACAGCATCACCCGCATGCCCATCAACATTCGCATCAACTGCCTTACAGCCACCACCACCAGCAGCAACAGCAGCTGCATCAACAACAACAGCAGCAGCAACAGGGTGCCCACCATCATCATCACATGAATGGGCATCTTGGAGGACCACAGCAGCAGCAGAATGTTGTCGGTACGAATGGAACCCATCTCTCGAATCCGGTGAATGTGGTGACGGAAGGCGGAGCACTGTACCCGAATAGGTGAGTGTCAGAAATCGTGTTTTATTATCTAATTTGAGCAATATAGGGTTCCAATCAGGGACATCAGATAGCATAGGCACGGTATTAATAACCCGGAGGCGGTGGGTTTGAGTTCCGCCCTGACACCATCCTTTTCAACTGCATTGTCTTATTAAGGTATTCGATAGCTTCCTTAGTTCCACTTCTGGTGGGAGTTGGTACGTGCTGCTTGTCTGTATTTTCATTGAAAATAATGTAAACATGAGTTACTTAGAGGTGACGTCACACTAGCATATCATTCAACGAGTTTAAGTTTGTATGGAGGTTATATACGAACAACATATTTTTTCATTGCATTTCAAAAATTGAACAGGTCAAAAATTAAAAAAAGTTTAAATAGTGTTTCGTGTGAAATTTTATGAATGCATGGGTCATTTTTGGATAATCAGGGAGAGTGCATGCGGTCGTTACCCTTAACCCATCTTAAAATAGACAGTTCAGTGGTACTCACGCACCGCAGAGCCACACTCTGTGTTTTCACTTTCTGTGCAAATCAAATGGATAGTCACATCAGTAGTGACAAAAGCCACTTCAACCCTCGAAATAACCCCCAGAGTGTGTCTCTACGGTTCCAAAATTTTCATTTTGATAAGAAGGTTAATCAACGGCGCCGGTGGTGTAGTGGTAAGCGTGATTACCTCTCACCCCAGCAGGCCTGAGTTCAATCCCAGTCGGCACCGCCGGGATGTTCTGAGGCATAACATCTCTGATCACGCCTTCCTTCGGATGGGAAGTAAAGCCGTTGGTCCCCGGTTCATGAGTTGATGGGTCGATAGGTAAGGTCCAGGTGTGGGAGCTGCCTTCCTGGCACGTCGGTAGCATTGGTGCTCAGCACGGAAAACAAGATCGACGGAAAAAAACAAACCAAAGGAAAAAAAAAAGAAGGTAAATAGCATTAAACTATCTAAAGGGTGATACGGTCAAAATTTGGTCAATATCAACTTGACGTATTTCTTTCAATTTTGCATTTAAAAAACCTGAACACCCCTCATTTTGACGACAAAGAGAGTTGCCGGTAGTTTCAAGCGAAACCCTAACCTCTCTCTCTCCGAGATGCCGCAAATAAGCTGGGTGTATCGTCTACAACCGTGCATCGAGCCAAAAAACGAGCCGGACTATCGACTTACAAGAAGGTAGTGACTCCAAATCGCGATGATGAACAAAATACGACGGCCAAAGCGCGATCCCGGAGGCTGTACACGACGATGCTGACGAAGTTTGACTGCGTGGTAATGGACGACGAAACCTACGTCAAAGCCGACTACAAGCAGCTTCCGGGACAGGAGTTTTATACGGCAAAAGGAAGGGGAAAGGTAGCAGATGTTTTCAAGCACATGAAACTGTCAACGTTCGCAAAGAAATATCTGGTTTGGCAAGCCATCTGTACCTGTGGCTTGAAAAGCAGCATTTTCATAGCTTCCGGGACTGTCAACCAAGAAATTTACGTGAAAGAGTGTTTGAATAAACGTCTGCTGCCTTTCCTGAAGAAACACGGTTGTTCCGTACTGTTTTGGCCGGATTTGGCATCTTGCCATAACGGTAAAAAGGCCATGGAGTGGTACGCCGCCAACAAGGTGCAGGTGGTTCCCAAGGACAAGAACCCTCCCAACAGCCCAGAACTCCGCCCTATCGAACGGTATTGGGCCTTGGCCAAACTGAATCTCAAAAAAACTAATAAATCCATGACGAGCAGAAGTTTAAATCTAACTGGCGTTCGGCGGCGAATAAGGTCGATGAGACCACTGTGCAAAATTTAATTGAAGGGATTAAGTGGAAGGCACGGCAGAGCGGATTTGGTAAACCAAAATAATAAACGAACATTTTTTCCTTTAAATATATGATTTGAACTACCAAAAGAAAAATAAGAAGATTTTTGCGATATGAATTTAGACTGAAAGAAAGGATTTCGCCAAGTCCGGCCAGAACAGCACAGGTCTATTATGTTGCTTTAGGAATGGTAGCAGCCGTTTTTCCAGGTACTCTTGGATGTAGATCTCTTGGTTGATGGTTCCCGTAGTAACGAAAATGCCGTTTTTTAGACCACACGTGCATGCCTGCCAGATGAGATATTTTTTCGAGAACATCGATAGTTTGATGGTTTTGAAAATGTCAGCCATCTTCCCAGGGTGTCCATCCAACCGGGAAATCCGAAAAATAACCGGGAATCCGGATTTGCCGGGAAAAATGCGGGAAAACCCGAATCGCACCGGGAAAGACCATAAATACTCATCCCAAGTAACAATTTTGGGTTTATCATAGTCTTGTAGGCCATAATTTGGTCTTGAAGAATCATTAAACCTTTATAAAACTTGCAATGTTACTTGGAATCAATCAATTTTATATCACATACACCATTATATTCTCTTGTTTAAACATATGTTTACAACTTTCATATTATGTATTTCACTGTGGTAAAGTATAATGGCGATTTTGCTGTTATTCCTACCACGATAGCTTACCTAGTATTTTTTTAGAATTTCTTTTGGTGAGTCCAGGCAACCAGGAACACCCAATAAACCAAATCAATAATATTATGGGGCTTCACGAAGGTTTAACCATTCTATCATTAAGTCGAATCTTCGTATACCTGGTTGAGTCTGCATAACTTCAAGATCAGATATTCGGGATGGTTTGGATAATCCAACAATGTTATTTTTAAACATTAGTAATAAAATTAAATGATGTACAAAACGCTCAAAAATTCGGAGTGGGCAAGGAACATTACAAACTATTACGAGTAAACTATAAAATATCGTCAGGACAATTTCGAGAATGATGAATATTTTGGTAACACATCTTTGTACTCCACCACATGTTATTTGGCTTATAGAACTTCAAGATATAAACGCCAGGAAGATTTGAAGAACTTTTAATATTGGGTTTCTCATTCTCAGGTCTCTTGTATTGATATATGGTTTTTCTGACATACCAAGGCCCAAGCGCAATGACAGCGGAAGCGGAAAAGCCCGATCTGAGTAAGCCTACTTGTCGGATTGAAAACTAGTTAGAACCAAATCGTCTTCGGTTAGGCTTCTTGATGTCATTTGTGACAACTGTCAAACTTTCCGTTTCCGTTCCGCTTCGGCCCACATTGGGTTTGGTCCTTTATGCTCATTTTTTTTCAGTGAAACTCTTTGATTTTATACGAATTCATGATTCCATGAGATTTTTGAGATCTAGATCATCAACATGTAAATGCAAATATCATCTCATATTTAAAAAAATAGTAGACGTATTGTTAAACAATTCTGCTCAAAAATTTAGAGATAATAAACGGTTATTTTTGAACACCTTTTTAGTTTAAGGCCGAGGTGATGTGGTTTGGTTTATTATTAAATAACCGGGAATTGAAAAATTGGATTTGAATGGACACCCTGTTTCCTAATGCGGTATAAAACTCGTGTCCCGGAAGCTGCTTGAAATCCGCCTTCACATAAGTTTCGTCGTCCATGACGACACAGTCGAACTTTGTGAGCAGATTCGTATACAGCTTTCGGGACCGCTGCTTTGCCGACGTGTTTTGTTTGTAATCTCGGTTCGCTACCTTCACCTTCTTAAACGTCGACAACCCGGCTCGTTTCTTGTCCCGCTGCACAGTATAGTATGGGAGACATTGAGCTTGTCAGCAGCGTCCCGGATGGAGAGGTTAAGATTCCGCTTATATTTCACCGCCACCTTCTTCGTCGTCGCTGCCTCGTCCGGATTACGATTGCCGCCGCTTCCATGCTTCCTGGCGGTCGACAGACGCTCCCCGAACACCTTTAAAACGTTTTTCGCGGTCAATTTGGCCACATCCAGCAATTTTGCCAATTTGGCGTGTGAGAACGATCGGAGAAATTTTGACACGCTACTCCTCTTGCTTGGACGTCATTTTGAAAACTGGAGAGCAAACGGTGAAAACTCATCATAGCAACCATTGTATATACATTCAACTTCCAAATGCAGTATTTCAGTTTTTTTAATGAATTTTTAACAGAAATACACCAAGAACAATTTTTGTGTACCAAGAACCATAATAGACTTGGAAAATTCTTTAAAACCTCGATAAAACTGGTAATTATACTATGTACTGTGCAGAAATCAAGAGATTGATGTATTTTGAGGATATTCAGGCAAAATTTACCATTTTTTCATGGTCTGCACAGTGTGAAATGGATGGCATTAAATTCCCCTGATGTTGTTACAATAGATGGGTGCTGGAGCCCTGTCAATTTAGAATCGGTACGCTTTCAATCGGATGTATCTCCAAATCTGTTTGGTTTAGAATAAAACGTTATCAGAAGAAAATGTTATATATTTGATGTTGTTTAAAGAAACTGTTTTGTAAATTTAAGCTTCTCAGAATTGAGCAATTTTAAAAGTGATCATCCCTAATATCTGTTGACAGATAATCTACTAATAAATACTGAGTACAATCGTGAACATATTGTAGTGAAGAGGTGCCGGTTGGAATCAACTGTGTTCCAATAACCAGTTACCGAATTTGTAAGTAATATTATATAATGTATATATAAGCTAATAAATATATCAGTGGCGTCGCGTAACCTCACTTTTTACCTGTTCAACAACTTTGAAAACGTTATTTAGGGTCATGTTTACATTCAAATCAGTTTCAAAAGGCGCAAGGTATTCTAGTTTCACTGATTTGTATCCATTTGATCCAATATGGTTTTGTTTGGTTACGTGTTGAGAGTTATTAAACAGGTAGATTGAGGTTAGGGCGACGCCACTGAAATATATTATTATAGCTTTGTACCTGACTCAAAGACATCAAAACTATATCTTATCTTTCGCCAGCACCTCTCCGCAATAGATACAATATGGGCTTTTGCGATTTTTATGCCTCTCGAATGAAAATTAGAACTTTGAGCTTGATACGTTCCATCAACTTCTGCACAAGCTGCTGGTCACCCTCACCGGCTGCTTTTTTCCTGGTATAGTTGGACGATCTGTCAACATTA